AAGCTTGGTCCTACAGGCTGTTGCTTGGAGTAGCTCGCAAGCCCACATATCCACCACAGCCTGGTTGGTCTGGCACTTCTTGAAGAAAACTACCTAGTTTTCTCTTGAAGATGTCCACAGTTGTTCAGGCAATATTTTTTATACTCACTGGGAGGATGTTGAACGACCGTGGACCTCTTTATACAGTGTTCTCTGATTGTGCTTATGGCACCTCTGCTCTTCACTGGTTCTATTCTGCATTTTCTTCCATATCATTCACTCCAGTATGTTGTTATTTTACTGTGTAGATTTGGGACCTGACCCTCCAGTATTTCCACGTGTATATTATTTATTATCTCATCTCCTTTCTAGCAAGTACATTTGGAGAGCTTTGAGACGATCCCAATAAGAGGCGATTTGAGACGATCTTTGATTCCACATTCCATAACATGGCATTTACTCACTTTGAATTCCAATTGCCACTAGATGCTCCAATCACTTATTTTATCTAGATAGATTTGAAGGGCATTACAATCATCTGCGTCTTCAATCTTCCCCAGTAACTTGCCATCACCCGCAAACATATTCATATAATTCTGTATTCCTTCTGGTAGATCGTTTATGTAGACGATGAATATTACTGGTACAAGAACTGAACCCCGTGGTACTCCGCTAGCAACACTCCTCCAGTCGGAGTGTAGCTCTCATCCTGTAACTACACTTAGGTAATTACACATACCCACCCAAAATCTCATTCTCTTGCACTGTAACAAACAGAAAATACCCAACTAAAACTACCCATTTAGCTTATAATAACCTTTTCCCATCAACATAAAAATTAAAAATGGTCCCAGTTTTTTCATAATAAATGGATCAGAACCATGCATTTTGTATGGTTATTTATTTGCAAAGTTTTACAGCTTTATGTATGTCATGTCTGGCAAAATGCTGTCATTTGCACAGCCCAAACAGTGCCAAATTAATGTTTAAGTCTTATCTACCCAACTTAAAATTTATAACTATAGGAACTAAATGATAATTCACATCCCCTAAATATGTAGAACTCCACAAATTCTACATACAGTATAGTATTAATGATTAAAATATATCATTCACATTAAAATATACAGTCTTCAACTAGCACTGATTGCGATCAAATTATCTCTGTTGAAAACACACATGATGCAGTCAGTAGATATTGTGTCAATTAACATATTATTAATCCACAGCCTTTTGCTCAGTTAACAAAATATATTATTGTATAATTTAATTAACGAATGTCACCCTCAAACATACGACTTTTTAAATTGCTTCATAAAGAAGTACACCGTTCGTGCGCCGCCCACCTGACTAACTCTCACTGTCAGTCGCTCCTTCATCCCTCAGTCCTTGGTACATCAGGTTGTCTGGCTGGTCTCTCCATTTTTTGCTTCACAATTTATGTGCATTACACCCAGTTATCTGCATCCCTGCAATTTGGAGACCAATCCAAATTTCTGTAATGCTACTGAGATGTATAAGAACCAGTCGTACCACTTGTGCGAATATAAATAATTCCAGAAAACTTACGAGCTGAATGCTCTGCCACCTTGTACTTAAAACTGCCAACAATGTAAATTAACATAAGAACCCAATAATCACAATGATATAAACACGAGTTGAGGACACGAAACTCGAGATGCAAGTTTTGATTTGAGGATAAAAAGGCACCCAATATGAAGAGGAGGAGCTAGTCCTGATGATTTTAGACTGAAAATCCACTAAATAAAGTTCTCTACTCTGGTCAGATCAAAGCATATATAGAAATGGCTGGGGGCGAGGGGGAAGAGAAATTGCCAGCAGTCATGGAAAGCAAACCAATTACCTTCCAATGAAGTATCTTTAGCACATTGGAAATGTTTAAGGAACAAATATTTTGAAATTTAAATTTAATAAATCTTCATAATGTATGAATAGTAGTAAACTTGCTACATAATTTTTAAATACAAAATATAACACTTGGCAAAGAATGGATCTCAATCTTCGATGATTTTTTTTTGTCAAGTGGCATTTAGCAGCTCCCAGATAATTCTAGGAATGAAGAAGCATGCAATTTTTTTTCCTTTTGTTCAGAATCTAAAATGTTGTAACATGGGTACTGGGCTAACTTGGCCCCTATTGACAGAAGGAAACTTCAATATTACTCTTAAATATTACATTTCCATGAAACTTTTTCAATAATTTATTTCTTCATCCAGCTTTACCCATGCTGGTAGTGTGTGTGCATGTTTCTCCCAAGTACAGTACAGGTCCTTCAATGTTCACTCCATATTATGACAATTATCAGTGTTGTGAGCAACATCAGAAGGTCTTCTCAGCCACACAATTACTCACAATTTTGGAGTTATATGTGTTTGGTAAATTAATTTTTACTTTCTTGCCCTACTGAACTGCTACTTTATGTACATGTGTATGCATGTAAAGTATATGAATGCATATGTGTATAGATTGTTAAAGCTCGTTATTCCAAATTCCAGTAGCTCTAATCTTTGGACAATCCAAATGAATTTGCATTCATCATTTTTTAGTAAACGTCAGGAATGACCGGGTTGTGACAATAATGAATTGCAAATTTGTTAATTTTTTAACATTCCAAGCAAGAAATTCAGCTAACTCAAATCAGATGGGCCCCGCATGATTTGGATTAAAGAGTGCAGATTTGATTTGCACATGCGCAGTTAGCCACGAACACACCACACCCATAATCTACACAGTAAAATAACAACATACTGGAGTGAAAGATAGGGAAGAAAATGCAGAATAGAACCAGTGAAGAGCAGGGGTGCCATAGGCCCAATCAGAGAACACTGTATAAACATCAAAAGTCCACGGTTGTTCAACATTCTTCCAGCAAGTATAGGAAATATTGCCAAAACAACCGTGGACATCTTCAAGAGAAAATTTGATAATTTCTCCATGGAGTGCTGGACCAACTGGGCTGTGGTGGATATGTGGGCCTAGATATGGAGTTTGGTCCACCAAGCAACAGCCTGGTGAACTAAACTCTCACAAGTCAAGCCTGTCTTCGGGCCGGGTTTGAGGAGGAGAAGAACTCTCAAAACCCCATCAACCAGGTATCAAACATTTCAACAAATGATGCACAAGAATATAAAAGAAAATTAATAAATATTCAATTATTAACTATCAATAATTATTGATAGGAACGTTAGCCCCACAGACACCAATTAGAAGATACAATTAACAATTTATTACAAAAACAAGAAGACTGCCAACCTACTCATGAAGAACTCTCCAGATGTCTAGTTTCCCACTAACCATATGAGGCACCACTAAAGTGCATTATTCCCTGTGACATCACAGGTTCACGGTTCATTGTTCCTATTATTTTCATTTGTCACATGACTGGAGTGTTCATTCCTCGACTTTATTGGATTTGTCTGCACAATCTAAAAACAGCCGTGCACCATGTCAGCTCCAAATGCACCCATTGTGTCAGTGAAGGCATCAACAAGCGGGATACGTAAAAGAAAGAGGTCAGTGATGATATTTGAGAAGTTGAAATAATTAAGGTGGAGAGCGGAGTTCCGAGAAGTGTCGTGTACGCTGAATACGGCATTGTACGGTTGCAGTGAGGGTGGGAGGGAGAGCAGCAGTGAGGGTAAGAGGAAAAATCAGCAGTGAGAGTGGGAGGAAGAGAGGAAGTGAGTCGTAAGCAATGAGGGGCAAAGGTATTGAGGGGAGAAATGAGAAATTTGTACTGTACAGTATATGAAGTTTTTGAAAATACATGCAAAAGGAATGAAACAAATATCAATTAAATGAGTATTTTTGCAAAGACTTCCAAGAAAGCTCGCATTGCATCACCTACAACTGACTCATCACATGTTGACCCAAATGCTTCAACATCTGAGGTTACCTCATCTCCACTTTTGTCAACCCAACACCATTAACATCCACCACCACCTCTTCCATGTAAATAACAATGATCAAGATAACGTAAGGGTCAGGACTTCTCTTATTAGTGAGTACAAACAAACTGCTGTCACATTTATGCTATGAACCTGTCAATTGATAGGTTCATAGCATAAATGATTTACATTCATTTATGCTAGATTTACATTACATTTTTTCGAACTTACAGGTTAACCAATGGGTTTCAGCCCCAAGGGGTATGAACCAATCAATCTTTCAATCTACACAGAAATTTAGTTGTGTTTTGTTGATACAGTGTTGATATACAAACATATGTATGTTCAATAATTTGCACAAATAATAAACATTGGGTAGACCAAAAATGACAGTGATAAGCAATTTGCCATATTCAATTCTAATGTATCTCTGCAAATAACAAGCAGAACATCGCTCAATGAAGCTCGTAAAATTGAGCATAGCCTAAACTTCTTTCCTATACCCTTCATTTCATATGTATACACTATTTTACTTCCTATTTCATTTTTCTCCAGGCCTGGTCGGGGACCGAGCCGCAGGAATATTGAGCCCCGAAATCATCGCAAGGTAACATTCTCTTACACCCAACAAAAAATTATTTGATTTCTCCATTTTATTATACCATAGTTTTCTATTTTTATATACACATTTTACATATATTACTGAAAATTTAATAGTAACCTGCAATTGACATCCCTAATACACCTCTCTAATTTCAGTCTCTTAAGCTATTTACTACTACTCCAATATCTGCCTTTAGTCTTAAACTTTTAATTATATTTCCCATCATAAACCACATAATGAGTACCCTTTCTTTTAGAATCAGCACTTCTGATGCATTTATACACCCAAATATTCTCTCTAAGGAGTCATAAAACAAGAACCTCCATGCAGACCTGTTTTTACCGAACAGTAAAACCTTTTTTAATGCATGCTAAAAAAGTGTTAGCAAGTGCAAATTCAACATACCTATTAAGTTAGAAGATATATAAAAACCGTCCTCAACAAGACCCATGAATAGCATTCAACATACAGATCACAATTCAATTTGAATATTAGATATTTATACATACCTTGCCTAGTTGAACCTTTGTCATGTGACCGGTTGGAGGTTTCCTTGGCACGTGTTCGTTCCCATTCTAGCCACTCTGGAGGCTTTTCCCACTGAGAAACCTCTGTACGGCAATTATAGTAATACTTCTTCCCTGAAGAACTCACATGCTCCGACCAGTCACCCACTCTCGCCAAACGTTCTTTCTCTTCTTTCTTGTGCTGCAAAATACAAAAACAAGCATTCTATATAAACAATTTAACAAATATTAACTATAGGTCATGTAAAAAATAGTAATGGGGATCAACAAAATTGACAAAGAAGATTTCAAGAACAAATTTCCTTTTGCAAACAGTGGTAGATGGTTGGAACAAGTGAAAAGATGAAGGGGAGTCCAAAACTGTCAGTAGTTTCAAGGCGTCATGTGACAGTACTGGCATGACGGGGAACCACAAGTGTAGCTCTCATCCTATAACTACACTTAGGTAATTACAGTGATGTCTGAGATGCTCCTCAAGAAAATGAAAGGCAAACTCCAAGAGCATATAAACCATCAAGCACTTACAACTGAATTAATGCGGTCATGATTTCCTCGGCTGTCTCTGTCACGGTCTCGGTCCCGGTCCCGGTCCCTGACTTCTCTTCGGCGGTCTTTAGGTGACCTACTGTCATCTGGAATTTAGTGTAAATTTAATTTTATTAATACGTTATTTCATTCAGTAGAGAATGGATCATGTGAAAACATTTTTAAAAGCTTCAGACAACATTATGTATCAAAGGATCTAAACACCTTTAAACACAGTTGCTTCTGTGCAGAGTAGATACGAGGTATAAAATTTTTCTCTTCAACGTGCAGGGAACGGAACCAAATGTTCACTTTTGGGCAGGCTATTAAATGTTAAGTTGTGACAAAATGAATTTACCAAAAGTTAATATTTAATATTTTGTAGGCAAAAATATTTGCCAACAATACTGTAAAATTAAAAGGAAAAAGAAAGAAGTGAGATTACACCTTTAACACTTAGGTCAATGGATTTAAAGGCTGAGGTTAATTGGCGACATTTTAAAAATAAATTATATATGGCCCGAGTTCATATCTTGGCTAGGGAGAATTGACAAGGTGCCATTCCTTAACTCTACACCTCTGTTCAGCCAGAAATTAATGGGTACCTGGTTGTTAAACAATTTGGTGTCGTATTCCAGGGAAAATTAGGATTAAGGACCTGCCTGAAATGCAATGCATGCTAGTGGCTTTACAATAATGCTTTTATATATAAATAAAAAATATATATGTGTATAATTGATGAAGTTGTGGGTTTTATGAGAAAATCAAATGATTGTTTTTATTTTCAAACACCAGTCACATGATATTTTTGCCCAGGACAATCTTGCAACCACAAGAAATTGAAATCCCCTGGAAAATTGCCAAACAAGAACATTAATACTCAAACTATAGTTTCCTGAACACTAAAAACATTAATTAAATAATTTTCTATATTATACAAATCTTAAAGAAGTTACAATTTTGCATTGCATATAAGCTTCAATATAATTTATCTTCACATGAACATCAATATGATGAAAAGCTTCAAACTATATAACAAGATATACAGTAATCGACACTGCATACGGCCAAAGTAAAACGAAACACTTGAGATATAAATTTCTTGGATACAATTTACTTGATACCAAAACCTAACCATTTCTTACATTTGATGACAATCAAGATTACAGAGTACAGTATCTTTAAATGTATTTTCCTTGGAATCCTTTTAACACTTTAGTGTACCCCGCGCGCCACCCTTCAACTGTGTGATATGGGACCCAGGGTGTCACGGGAGCGCGCGTAAATTCTGCAAAGTGTATACTCTCTTCAACTTTGTCACCTTAATTCTCGTCCTACGAGATTAAATTTAGTATCATTGTGTTTGCAATAGAATTCTCTACAGCACTAAATGCATATAAACTCCAAAAGCCCGGCTAATTACCCGCAGCAAACAGAGAAAGTGCGAATGAGTTACCCAGGAGCGCGCAAACGCGATAAAATGTTTTCACTATTTTCACTCTGGTCACCTCAATTTTCGTCCTAGGTCTTTCATTTTGGTCTCAATGGGTTCGCAGTAGAATTCTCTAGAGGAACATTAGCATATAAAATAAAAAACCTGGTCACGCTCCAACCGCAGACGAGTTGAAGACGGGCCACGCGTTAGCCGCGAGTGAGCGCTCAGGCGCCTTCCAGCTACACTCCCAATTCCCTTCCTTTTCAAGCCATTCTTTTGCAATTTTCTTCCTGGAAGGGCCTTGTTCATGATCACTATCTATCGTGGAGTAAGCGTAGATAGTTTCTAAAGCCGCAGTAAGAAATATAGCCACGGAAAATAGACGAAATGTTCACACGTTTGAGATGTGAGGGGAGGCGACGTTGGTCACAACAGTGGAGTGTAAAAACAATGGGCCGACAGCATGTGCCAAGCCACCTGAGGGCCACAAGGCTCAACAAAGAAAATGGGAAGACATCGGGGCACATTTTAAAACCAGGCCCCAAAAAATCGGATAAAAACCTGATTTTTGGCGATTATTTAAAGTGGATGACGCAATGCTGTGTCATCCCCGGTATTACCGCCAGTAAACGGATGACGCAATGCTGCGTCATGCCCGGGCGAAAGTGTTAATTGATTTAATTAATTTATGATTAATAAATGATTAATGAATTGATTAATTTAATTGAATCATTGGTGAATATGTTAATTGCTCACGATCTTAAAAAATTATACTTATAAAATATATATACCCGTATAGCTGGGAAAACTTGTAAATATCTACACAATACTGTACTCAGTATGGAAAAATACAGTATCAACTTGTTCATATGAAACTGATGTCACACTAAAAATGCATTACTACTAAATGAATGAAATGTTCCTTTTTTTTTAAGTCGTTAATATTTTGATGAACAGAGTAATTACAGGGTTATGACACTAAGTATTGATGCAAAAGATGGACAACTGTTATCAAGATAAGGTGATACTCCTCACATCTTCATCAAACTACAGGAAGGGATAGAAATGATGAGCAGAAGGGAGGGTAGAGGAAGACATCAGAATATATATTCCCTTTCTTTAGCTAGATACACGATCAAGATTAGTGAGAGCGGTTTTAACATTAACTTTTGCAACATATACTGAAGATAATGCTACAAATGTCCTGAAGTCTAATACAAATCCTTTCTGCACCTACTCACATCAAGGGTACAAAAGTATGGCAGGAAGTGCCAAGAGTGTTAGTGACCTTTAACCTTTCATATCATAAACACTTGGAAATTATGAAGTGGTATCTTAGCCATCATAGAAGACTAAGTGTAATGAAACCAAATGAATTACCATGAATTACTAGGGAAATGAAATGCCATGAATTACTTACTCCCGACAAATGTCTCCAGACAGCACTATCAACATGTATTTCAACTACAGTACTTGTACATTGTTCACATCCATGCCATGTTTTTCTCACTCCCCTTCCCCATACTTGTCCATTCTTCTTGCCCATACATACCCTTATGTGCTTTCTTAACCCTTAGACAGCAGTTATCGTCAAACTGTTTATTCAATTCAATTTCTTTATTATGCACCCCATACCCATCCCCTGGGTGGTGGTGGAAAGGGTTACAGAGGCACATAGTTCGTTTAGCTGAGCACGTGACAATCTTGTGATGCTAGTTACACAATTGTTAATGTTATATATATACAGGTACATATATATAATCATTTACATAAATACATATACACATTGATAATCAGTCACTATACAAGGCACTCTACATCTATGGTGAGTCACGCAGTTACTAGTCTTACTCCACACCCAGCCAACTGGGCGATTCACAGGGGATAATATGGTTATCATCATTTGAAGATTTGAAAAATTATTGTCTGGGTTTTACATGCATTATGCAAATAAGGGTACAGCAGGTCTGTGTGGACATAATGGAGTTTACCGTGACCCAAGAAAAAAATCCTGCCCTCATTTCACGGCACAAATGCGGTTATCATGAATGTTACTACGGGAACGCGGTCATCATATGATGAATTAAACAATTATCGTCAGGGTTTTACACGTATGATGCAAAGATGGATATAAACGTTCTCTGTGGCTGTAACTGAAGATAAACAAATGATAAAACAATCGGTGAAACTTCGGAGGATAAAACAAAGAGTCAGCATAGTCGAGTACCAGGCATTAATAAGTGCCAGATGCAGCCTTACTGAACGCCTTTACAGTGAAATGATAAATATTCACTTATTTTTGTGTTTTTCTTACATTCTGCATATAAATTAATAATTCTATAATGAAAAATTATTTGTTGGAATTTTTCTATTTAGTTAATAATAGGCAGCTATAACCATTCCTTCATAGCCACTGTCTAAGGGTTAAAAAAAAAAAAATTTCATTACCTGGAGTGTGTTGCGGGAGTTGTTCTATTCCCCAAGCCCAGCCCGGGACAAAGGCTGGTGTTCAACATGTCCACAAAATATATAGACACTCTTCCCTACCTTACAATTCATAGGTTTTTGGACCATCTTTTCAAGATATCATTTAGATGCTTCACTTCATTAATTTACATCTAGGAACTGTTCATTTACTTTCGGCCATCTTTCAGGCAAACTTTTTGCCTACTAAACTCTTCATGTATGGCTTTCATTTTTTTTTAATAAGATATCACACAGTAAAAAATCTGTGAGAATCTAATGTGGGACTACCAGGGATGCCTATAACAGTATTATCTGTATTTCCTTTCCAATAAGAAATATGGTGAATCAGAACAGCCATGAATAAGCAGCAACAAACTAACCTCTGTCCCTGTAGTGATAATCCCGGTCTCTGTCCCTCTCGCGCTCACGGTCTCGTTCCCGATCTCTGTCACGATCCCGGTCTCTATCGCGGTCCCTTTCACGATCTCGGTTTTCACGGTCTCTCTCCCTCTCCTTCTCACGGACCTTGTAGTAGCTTGCTGTAAAGTAAATAGATGCATTATAATTAACCAAATTCAAACATTAAAGATAAAAATGTTAAATAAAATGTTTATGACTTACCTGTTACACTTGAATTCAGTAAACATGGATGAAGTGACCTAGGTTTGTTTTCAGTCATGTAAACATTTTACTATTCTTACATGAACTTATTTCTTTGCAGCATTTTCTTTATCCAGTGAAGTGAAAACCTCTCAAATCTGTACGTCCTTATAATAGACCTCTTTCTACACAATGGACCAAATTCAGCTGCTGGATCTCGCATCCAAATTAAAAGTACCACCAGTATTTCAGACTCCAGATTTTAAGATTTTACAATGGTTTTTTCAATGAAAACTCCAGATTTTAAATGGGGTTAACACTTTGAGCAGCCCAGCATGCATGCCCCATACTCACCCCAAGGTGGGCCGAGCGTTTCCCATGCGTGCACGTGCACCCACACTAAAATGTGTATACTCTTTCCAGTTTTCTCACATCAATTTTCAAGTTACATCGCTCATTTTGGAATCAAATTGTTCGTAATAGAATTCTCTAGAGATATAGGCATATAATGTCAAAAAGCTCGGCGGGCCTCCTACAGCAAACCCGAAATTTGGACGAGCATTACCTGTGAGCGAGTACCAATCTGTACACCACCACCACCCATACTAAAATGTGTATACTCTGTTCAGTTTTCTCACCTCACTATTCATGCTACGTCGTTCATTCTGGTATCAAATGGTTCGCAATCGAAGGGCACGCATTTAAAAACTAGTCCCATAATGATTGGAAAACAACTGAAATTTTAACAACTATTTTAATTTTGGCTGCCACATGCATCCTTGCCAGACATCCGTAGAGTTATTTGTGGACATTAGCTCCGTCCCCGGACGAAAAGTATTAAATGTGTCAAGAGGTCATAAGCCTGTGAACAGTAATTATTATTGTCAATTTTTTTTTGTCCCCTATCACAAGAGTAAACTGGTGTACAGTACTTATTTTAATGCAGTGGTTTTTAATTATTAATCCCGTAGATATATTTGATATGTGAAATATAACCAATGGTGACGAGTACACGAGCACAGTTCAAGTGCGTAGTGGTAACACCGAAGACAGACACATGCCTGTCCACCTGCCACACATGTGCACACACCATTGTCCACCTGCCACACATGGGCACACACCATTGTCCACCTGCCACACATGTGCACACACCATTGTCCACCTGCCACACATGTGCACACACCATTGTCCACCTGCCACACATGTGCACACACCATTGTCCACCTGCCACATATGGACACACACCCCTGTTCACCTGCCATACACGGATACACACCTGTCCACCTGCCACACAGATATACACCTGTCCACCTGCCATCCACGGACACACACCTGTCCACCTGCCACCCACGGACACACACCTGTCCACCTGCCACCCACGGACACACACCTGTCCACCTGCCATACTGGCTCACACCACTGTCCACCTACTTCCCCACACACAGCTACCAGTTGGGGTCTGGTAGCTGTGCGGACAGCATGCAGGACTCTTAATTCTGTGGCCCGGGTTTGATTCTCGGACCAGGCAGAAACAAATGAGCAAAATTTCTTTCACCCTGATGCCCCTGTTGCCTAGCAGTAAATAGGTACCTGGGAGTTAGACAGCTGCTACAGAGCTGCTTCCTGGGTGTGTATGTTGGGGAGTGGGGGGGGATTAGTTACTTAGTAGTTTGTTATTGATTGACAGTCGAGAGGTGGATCAAAAGAGCAGAGCTCAACCCCCACAACAACAACTAGGTGAAAACACACACACACAAAAAAATCCATGATTAAATCATGGGTTTCTAATCTGCATTACGTCGTTTTCCTTCTGGACCGGGACAAACTTGTTTGCTGTCTCCTTACACTTCTGCGTGATGTAGTCCATCATGTCTTGGGCCGTCTTTCCCCTGAGCTCTGTTTCCCCATGTTATATCTGTTAAGAATTTCCTTATCTTCTCATAGTTTCCTTTTCAGAATGCCAGCCTTTTGTTTTCAGTTCCCTTCCTCGAGTTCTTTAACCCTACTTTAACCAGATGCTCAAAACGTCAGTACACTGTGATCGCTCATTCCTACCGAGGCCTCGAAATCGATATCCCTTATGTCATTCAGAGTGAAGACTAGGTCAAGTCTCGCTGGTTCATCATTTCCTCTCATTCTTGTGGGTTTCCTGACATGCTGGCTTAAGAAGTTCCTTGTCGCCACCTCCAATAGTTTAGCTCCATGTATCCTCACTTCCATGCGGTTCCTTGTTCTCCCAGTCTATCCTTACATGATTGAAGTCCCTCATGATGAGCAGATGAGATCTATTTCTACAGGCAGCAGAGGCTGCCCTCTCAATTATAGTGTTAACTGCCATGTTGTTGTTGTCATACTCATGACTGGGTCTTCTGTCATTTGGTGGAGGGTTATATATCACTGCTACTACTATTCTTGGTCCTCCCATTGTCATGGTGCCTGTTATGTAGTCTCTGAATCCCTCACAGCCCAGGATAGCCATCTCCTTGAAACTCCATTCCTTTCTCATTAGTAGGGCCACTCCGCCTACTTCCCTACCTTCCCTCTCTTTCCTTATTATAGTGTAGTCCTAGGGAAACACTGCATTTGTTATGATTCTTGAGAGTTTTGTTTCTGTGAGTCCAATTACATCTGGGTTCACTTCTTGTGCTCTTTTCCTTAGTTCACTTGCCTTGCTTGTAATTAATTCCATCTTTGATCTAGAAGCACCTCAAGGTAAGGTACATCACCCTGAAACTGACTCTCTCCTGTCCTTCCTCAGTTTCTGTTGATTCTCCTGAAGCAGGGAAACAGGGAGGGACCAGAATGAGAGGGCCTAGGAAGGGGGGACCTGGGAGATCTGGGGTGTGCTGGGGATGGGAGGCTCTGGTACAGGAGGGTGGTGGAGGGAGGGAGGGCTTGGGGTGGGGGGGTGAGAGGGGGCTTGGGGCAGGAGAGGAGAGGGCTTGGGGGGGGAGAGGAGAGGGCTTGGGGGGAGAGGAGAGGGCTTGGGGGGGAGAGGAGAGGGCTTGGGGGGGAGAGGAGAGGGCTTGGGGGGGGGAGAAGAGAGGGATTGGAGGGGGGGGGGAGAAGAGAGGGATTGGGGGGGGCAGAAGAGAGGGATTGGGGGGGGAGAAGAGAGGGATTGGGGGGGGAGAAGAGAGGGATTGGGGGGGGAGAAGAGAGGGATTGGGGGGGGGAGAAGAGAGGGATTGGGGGGGGGAGAAGAGGGGGATTGGGGGGGGGAGAGAAGAGGGGGATTGGGGGGGAGAAGAGGGGGATTGGGGGGAGAAGAGGGGGATTGGGGGGGAGAAGAGGGGGATTGGGGGGGAGAAGAGGGGGGTGGGAGGGGGAGAAGAGAGGGCTTGGGTGGGAGGGGGAGAAGAGAGGGCTTGGGGGGAGGGGGAGAAGAGAGGGCTTGGGGGGAGGGGGAGAAGAGAGGGCTTGGGGGGAAGGGGAGAAGAGAGGGCAGGGGGGGCTGGGGGGAGAGAAGAGAGGGGTGGGGGGAGAGGAGAGGGCTGGAGGGGAGAGAAAAGAGGGCTTGGGGGGAGAAAAGAGAGGGCTTTGGGGGAGGGAAGAGAGGGTTTGGGGGGGGAGGAGAGAGGGCTGGGGGAGAGGAGAGAGGGCTGGGGGAGAGGAGAGAGGGCTGGGGGGGGAGGAGAAGAGAGGGCTGGGGGGGGAGAAGAGAGGGCTGGGGGGGAGAAGAGAGGGCTGGGGGGGAGAAGAGAGGGCTGGGGGGGGAGAAGAGAGGGCTGGGGGGGAGAAGAAAGGGCTGGGGGGGAGAAGACAGGGCTGGGGGGGAGAAGAAAGGGCTGGGGGGGAGAAGAAAGGGCTGGGGGGGAGAAGAGAGGGCTGGGGGGAGAAGAGAGGGCTGGGGGGGGAGAAGAGAGGGCTGGGGGGAGAAGAGAGGGCTGGGGGGAGAAGAGAGGGCTGGGGGGAGAAGAGAGGGCTGGGGGGAGAAGAGAGGGCTGGGGGGGGGGGGGAGAAGAGAGGGCTGGGGGGGGGGGAAGAGAGGGGGGGGGGGGAAGAGAGGGCTGGGGGGGGGAAAGAGAGGGCTGGGGGGGGAAGAGAGGGCTGGGGGGGAGAAGAGAGGGCTGGGGGGGGGAGAAGAGAGGGCTGGAGGGGGGGAGAAGAGAGGGCTGGGGGGGGAGAAGAGAGGGCTGGGGGGGGAGAAGAGAGGGCTGGGGGGGGGAAGAGAGGGGGGGGGGAGAAGAGAGGGCTGGGGGGGGGAGAAGAGAGGGCTGGGGGGGAGAAGAAGAGGGCTGGGAGAGAAAGGGGGGGGGAGAAGAGAGAGAAAGAGGGCGGGGGGGGAGAAGAGAAGGGCTGGGGGGGAGAAGAGAAGAGGGGGCTTGGGGGAGAGGGCTGGGGGGGAGAAGAGAGGGCTGGGGGGGGGGGAGAAGAGAGGGCTGGGGGGGAGAAGAGAGGGCTGGGGGGAGAGGGCTGGGGGGAGAAGAGAGGGCTGGGGGGAGAAGAGAGGGCTGGGGGGGGGGGGGGAAAAGAGAGGGCTGGGGGGGGAGAAGAGAGGGCTGGGGGGGGGGAGAGGGCTGGGGGGGGGGGGAAGAAGAGAGGGCTGGGGGGGAGAAGAGAGGGCTGGGGGGGAGAAGAGAGGGCTTGGGGGGGGAGAAGAGAGGGATGGGGGGGGGAGGGAGAAGAGAGGGCTGGGGGGAGAAGAAGAGAGGGCTGGGGGGGGGAGAAGAGCGGGGGGGAGAAGAGAGGGCTGGGGGGAGAAGAGAGGGCTGGGGGGGAGAGAGAGGGCTGGGGGGGGAGAAGAGAGGGATTGGGGGGGGGAGAAGAGAGGGATTGGGGGGGGAGAAGAGAGGGAGAGGGGGGGGGAGAAGAGAGGGATTGGGGGGGGAGAAGAGAGGGAGGGATTGGGGGGAGAAGAGAGGGATTGGGGGGGAGAAGAGAGGGGCTGGGGGGGAGAAGAGAGGGATTGGGGGGAGAAGAGGGGGCTGGGGGAGAG